CCCTCTACCACCAGGAAAAATTAGGGTAACTACTGATCAGTAAAACCTAATCCAATGGCACTTTACAGTCTTCAGTAATTTACATAAAGAGGCGGAGGCTTGCTCCCCTTCTTTCCCAGCTCACCGAAATGCCTGCTGATGGTGCAGTAGAGGCCTGCTGTGAACAGCAGAGAGGAGTTGATCAAGGTCAGGATCCCAAGCACAAAGGGACACTGTCAGAGCTGACCTCACCAATGCTAATCCCCTTTATCCCTTCCCAGAATGGACTATAATCGTGTCCAGATTAAAATGTAGAGCAGAGGTGACCAAAACAAAAACTTGGCGGTGAATGTGAATGCACATGCATACAGTTGTTTAATAGCCTCTTCTGGAAGGGCCCTCCTGTTTAACACACCCTCCTGGAAGGACTAGGTTTACTCACCATTTAGAGCTGGAGCTGAGGCTAATAGTTATGTATGGACTCAACCCAGCTCAAAAGACAAAGACCGTGGAGCCAAGCAAGCACCTGAAGGTCTATGCCAAAATTCCTTCAGTCAGTATATTAAGAATGCCATGAGCTGGGAGCAGCAGATGGTATAGTGGTTATATCGCTGGACTCCCAGGTAGTCGACAGAGGTTCCAGTCCCTGACCCAGTGATTTGGGGCTCATACTGGGCATGTGTGCATGAGTGCCCAAAAATCCCAAAAGGAGAATGGAGAAGGGATTGTAGCATGGCCATCCTCCATCTGGGGGGGCGGGGAGAAGGAATCTCTCACTTTCTGTCTCTCTGTCTCTTTCAGTCTCTTTGACAAGCACACACTCCCTATAGCAAAAATCTCTCCAAAAAAAAAAAAAAAATAGAATGCCATGAACTGTTAATGTCCCCACCTTGTCCTATCCCTTCTCTTTATTTTCCAAGTAGAGCATCCTATAGTAGTTATGAACTCACCTCAGCTTGACCTTGGGCAGGTGATTGACCCTCTCCAAACCTCATCTGTATGATGGAAATAACAAGAGAACCTTCTTCAGAGGGCAGATAAGGAATGACAGTGCTTGTGTGAAGTACTGAATTTGGTGCCTGAAAAATACAAAAGGTCCATAAATGTTAGTGACTGTTATCATAGAATATTCTTGTTAAATGATTTCCAGGAAGGGTTAAAGGTCTTTGTCCCTGAAAGCCCTAAATTAAAAAGCCACTAATTCCCTTTCTTAACTAGAAGGGTATGATAGAGGTAGTTTTAGGTGAAAAAGCACTCAGCTAAACACTCAATAAATGCGCCAGGATTAACCGAGAGGTCCAACTTCACACTTGGGATTTGGCCTCTCTAGGCCACTTTTTATCTCTTTATTGTCTTGGGAAAATCTGAAAATCTGACTTCCCCTCCACAATTCAGTCTTATTTTTACTTATTTAGTTATTTAGGCATTAACAGAGCACATGGACACTTTTTTTTTAAAGTTATGTATGGATATTTATAAAGTCTCCATCAATTTTACTTTAAGATTTTTTGTCATTTAATATTCAAGAAGACATTGTATTTTGCTTATATTTTTCTCCTTACTTTTAATGTTGCGGTAAGCATAATTCTCTCCCCAGAGGTACTCAGCAAGTGGTTCATTAAAAATGCATGCCCGAGTTGTAGTGAGCAGTGCTCCAGATCTAGAATTCTTTCTCATTCTCTATGAGACCATCTCTAATTATAAGCCTAATAGTCTGAGCTAATCTTTGCAATTAAAATTTTAAACCAACTAAACTGGAATATGGGACATTGTTTAAAGTAACATTATATTCTCTTTTGTAGTTTTTTTTTTCCCAGCTTCATCCAGCAAGTAGGATGCAAATGCTTCTTTTATTGATACAGCTTCATTTATATTACCGTTTAAGAGTACAGAAAGCTCCCTCTGTTGATATACAGTTCATTACAGATGTGGAACTCACAGAAACAGGCTTGGAAGTAGATGCTATTTAAAGGTTTTTCCTCTTCACTCCAGGTTTTGAAGAGATTCAGGTTACTTTTGCTTATTTAAGAAAATCAGCTGTGGGGGGGAAAAAAGATACATGTTCTGAAAGTGTTTTTAGTTCATCTCATTGATGGTTTCTTCTAAAGGTCCCTAACATTTTTGGCCAAAGAGTCATCACTTCAAAAAAATGTTAACATCCTATTAAGAGCAGGTCACGGGGGATTATAAATGTCAGAACACTCCAAGGACATGAGGAACATTAGGGCAGGGCTGCTCCCTGGAATCTGTCATCTCCTGCTGCCAAAAATAACTTCTTTTTATTTAGGATGTCCTCTTTGTTATTTATATTTCTAATTGTCATTTTTTTTTTTAAGCAATGACTTAGAACTTGCGTTTTCCCAAAAATGTGAAGGTAGTCCAGCCACAGAAGAGCAAGTGGTAGGGCACTGCTCTGGGAGGCTGAGGCCACATGAGAGCCCTGGGTTCAGTTCCCAGACCAACCTAAACAAGCTGGGCGCAGTGGTGCACTCCTGTAATCCTGGCTAGCTGGACTCCGGGGCAGAAGGATCACAGTAGGTGAAACCCTGTCAGAATTACCTAACTCCTCCCCCGTCCCTCTCCCCCGACCTCCTCCTCTTTGTATTCATATTTTAAAAAGAAAAAGCTAAAGTAATCTGAATATCTTCAAAACCCAGAGTCTCAATGAAGAGGGAAATAAACTTTAGATAACATCTATTCTAAATCCCTCCCATGTAATAGATGAAGAAACTGACAGTCAGAGATGGTTAGTGACTAATCAAAGGCGACAGACAATTTTAGCAACATATCCCTGGGCCTAGCCTAGACTTTTGCCCTGTCCTCCAAGGCACTGGTTTTATGAGCAGCAGACACTCCCACCTCAGAGAATAGGCATTCACAGGAAACTCTGGAATTTCTTTTATAGATAATTACTAGCATCTTACAGCATTTAGTCCTTTGTAAAATGTGGATCCTTTTACTATCCAAATGGTTCAAATTTTTAAAGTTGACAACCAAATTAACTTTTAGTTATCCAGAAAATTGCACTAATTCAAACATTATTCTAGAGAAATGAAATTTTCCCATGTTCATAAACCCAGAAAGCAGTTTGTATGGGTATCTATAAATAAATAGATACAGAGAATGGTCGGTATGAGATAAGTGCATATGTGTATAGACATACGTGCATGTAAGCATAAATGCAGGTATAATCAGTGTTAGATTCACTTGAATGACAATCACTCATATGTAGATACAGCTTGTTGGAGGGAAGAATAACATTCCAATATCTGTATTTTGCAGATGATCCAGCATGTACAAAGGCTTTCTTATTTTTAAATAATAAGAGCAGCAATAGTTTCTACTCATAGAGTTCTCTCTGTTGTAGAGGTTTTGCTCGAGACTTGAAATGATATCACCTGTCAGATGGTTGCTGGTAATGACCCATGTAGCTTACTGATGGACTCAAAACTGTTTTTTCACCAACCATGTGTAAAACAGGGAAGGAAGGAGGAAATTTCCTAGTATTTCTAGAAATTATTCTGGGCTTTTCTTATAATACATTAAGAAATAGCTCTACCTATCTGAAAGGCACTCACTCTCAGAGATGGCTGTTAGCTACACAGAATACTATAGAAGGTTCCTAAACAACCGAACTACACTAGAATGCATAGGCCTTAAGTCCCTTCTAGAAGCAGGACATAAAATATATATATATGAAGAGAGAGAAAGGAGTAATTATATATGTTACATAGTGTAATTATATATGATATATCCACATAACAATGTAATACAGATTAAGTTGTATGTAATATAAACATATCTATTTTTCTTTGTTATATGAAGACTTACGAGTACCAACCAGAGTTAAGGAGTGTATAACTATTCATCCTTTTGAATTCGAAGTCTCATTCTTAAAAACTGTTAGTGAAATACAATACTTTACCCTTCTGTAACCCAAACCTTTGCTCCCTTGCCATTAAGGGTTTCCAGTATACTATACAGCAATATTGAACATAGACTCGAGAATTGTACGCCCTGAATATAAGTCCCGGTCAATACATATTACCTCTGTGACCTTGGACGCCAGACTTAACATCATGAACCTCGATTCTTGGTTTATAAAATGGCAAAAAATAATAGTCTCTTCCTGTTCTGGTAGATATAAGGATCAAGTTCCATAATGCATGTGGAAGGCTTAGCACAGGGCCTGGTGCGTAGGAAGCCTTCACTGAAGGTTAATTTTCTAATCATCAATATTCCAATGGTAAACATAGTGGTACCATTTTATACTACTCCAGGGATTGTCTCAGAGTTAGCGATTTAAAGTAAAGAGTAGCTGCTACACAGTGTACTTCGCAGTTGAACCATACCCACCCTTCCAGAATTCCTCTTCCCAGGCTTTCCAGCAAATTCAGCATGCATTTACATGGACAACTTCAGATACTTGAGAGGGAGACTGGAGGTATCCTACAAACAATAATTCACCAAACTCAACCAATGGTTTCCTCAGATGTCCCACACATCATGAGTTATAGGGGGAAAAAATAATAGTGTATGTATCATGCTTGTATATACCGATAGAAAGTCCAAATCGAGCCAGACACTGTGGCAACCAGAGTGGTTGTTCATCCTCCGTTTTGACATCTGAGAGATCTGGGCTCTGTCATGTGTTGGCAAGTGTGGTTTGTCCCCCCTCCCCCCGCCAACACCTGTCATGTTGCTAGGAGATTTCTTTCC